CCTTTTGCCGGGGGCGCTGCATCTTTAATGGATGCAGGTGGTTCCACAGCAGGAGATATTGACCATTGATAGCAGTGCACCTTCTTCCCAACTGATTTGGTGAGCCCCACTTCATTCTGGGGTCATGAATCTTTTCTACTTTGTGTATTCTGTTTGAGGTATAGCCGGGGCCTTGTTGCCGGCATTTTCATTGTGCTCTTCTTTATCTATAGAGGCCCCGTAGACATAGTGTGGGTTGTGTATTGGTGCTGGGGAAAGACAAACTATATTATGTTATGGATGTATTACTTGTCCATTTGAGACTTTAAAAATGATGAAACTATTGAAAATGAATTGGTATTGTAGACATGAACATATTTTCGTCTAATTAATGATAATATGTATTATCTCTATTCATGGATGAGTTTGGGTAGAATGAAATCTAACATGCTTTCTCGGTCTGGTTCACTCGGTTGAGCGCCGGTCGCGCTCCTCGGTTTTGGGGCATGACAGATATGCACAACAGACAACAAGAATATCATTAATATCACTCAACAATTAATAAATACAATTACACCCAATTAAATCAAGCTCTTCAAATAAATGTCTTTCACATATAATTCCTCCAGATAACTCTTCTTCAGATACAATTTTCTCAAATAATTACTTTTCAAATATAATTCTTTCAATAAATCTTTTCAATTATAATTTTTTCAAATAAATATCTTTCAAATACAATTCTTTTTGAATAAAAATCCTTCCAAATAAATATTTTGAATATAATTATTTCAATTAAAAAGTCACCATGTGACACCTTATTTCATAATCATAAAGAAAATACGGGTCTCAGCCTATTTTCATATATTTCATAAACACGGGTCTCAGCCCATTTTCATATTTTCACGGCACCTCGTGCCCATAATTAAATCATCATATTTTTCCGGCACCTCGTGCCCTCATTTTATATCATAACTTCATGGACAATTCACGTGCCAATTATCATTATCATTTAATCATAGCACCTCGTGCCCACATTTCATATCACAACTGCACGGACAATTCACGTGCCAAATATCCTCATTATTTACTCACGGCACCCCGTGCCCACATTTTATTTATAATCCGCCTGGCAATGGCCACTTGCTCTCAATTTCAACATAAATCAGATTGTTATCAATTTACCAACAACAAGAGAAATTGCACAGGGTATAAAAATAAACACAAGAAAATCACAACATTACATAAAAATTATCAACACCACAGCCCCACATCATCACATATCATCCCTAACAATAGCCACCCTTATCACTCCTATTGCCGTCATTATCGCTCCTATAGCCACCCCTATCGCTCCGCCCAGACAATATCAATAGCCACCCTTATCGCTCCTATTGTCACCCTTATCACTCCTATAGCCATCATTATCGCTCCGCCTAGACAATATTCCAACAAACACAACAACAGTGAAATGCCACCCTTATACCCACATAATATCAACGATGAAATGCCACCCTTATCTCCCCAAACTAATAACTCACACAACACAATAATTTCTCGAAATAATAACTCACTCAATACAATAATTTACATGGGAAATGATCACGGCAACATGACAAAAATCAATTCATATCATAATTTGCCCAATGGCCACAACCAAATTCCAAAGATATAACAAAATCAATTAATTTCATAACAAATAACCCAAGGCTCCACACAATGTATATAACACCCAAAAATAATTAATAGAGATATAAATTACTCAACATAAAGCAAAGCCTTCATTAACTCTAAAATTTTCAATAATTATATAATCACCTCTTGTTAAGCTTATTTAATTAATTAATTGCAGAAGGAAGAATCCAAAATAAAATTAAATTTCAATAATTATCAAACCAGCAAATTCACATAATTTCATAAATAATCAAATAACAATCACATCAAATTGTCATATAACAACAGATTCAACAATAAGGATTTAGGTACGGCAAATAGATGATTAAATATATGCCAACAATCATCCAATTTACTACACAATATGTTCAAGAATTTAACTCAATAAAATTTGCACATATAAACCAAGTACGTACTCGTCACCTCGCGTACATGGTTTTCAATTACACAAATTACACATAAGACTCAATGCCTAAGGAAAAATTTTCCCACTCGAGGTTAAGCAAGACACTTACCTTTTTGAAGTTATGCCGATATTCCAAAATCGTCTTCTTGCTTGAATTGACCTTCGGACCGCTCAAATCTAACCAAATTAATTGTATAACTTTATTAAAATTCATCAAAAACGATTCCGAAAAATAATGCGTCGACTTAAAAATTTATTCCAAAAAGTCAACGCGGGGCCCGCCCCTCGGAACAAAACATAATTTTCATGAAATCGAACAGCCATTCCGATACGAGTTCAACCATACCATTTTTATCAAATTCCGATAACAACTCGACCTCCAAATCTTAAATTTTCATTTTTAGAAGATTTTACAAAACTCTTGATTTCTTCCATTTAAATCCGAATTAAATGATGAATATAATCATGGATTCATGAAATATAAATACTTTAGGATATAGAACACTTACCCCAACCAAGCTTGTGAAAAATCCCTCTAAAATCGCCCAAATCCGAGCTCCAAAAATCCAAAAACAAAAATGGCAAAATGACCAATTTTTGGTCCTTAACATTCTGCCCAGATTCGCACCTGCGGGGACTGTTCACGCACCCGCGGTACTGTTCACGCATCTGCGAATCACTATTCACGCTTCTGCGAATCACTGTTCATGTTGCTGCCTAGAAAATTCCAGCAACTTATCTTCATGTCTGAATTGATCCGTTAACCTTCCGAAATCAATCCGAGGCCCTCGAAACCTCAACCAAATATACCAACACGTCCCAAAATATAATATGAACTTAGTCGAGGCTTCAAACCATGTCAAACAATGCAGAAATTACGAATCGCGCATCGAATCGAATTATAAGTTTTCAAATCTTCCAACTTCTATATTTTGCGACGAAACGTATCAAATCAATCCGGAATGACTTCAAATTTTGCACACAAGTCATAATTGACTTAATGGAGCTATTCCCATTTTCGGAATAGAAATCCGAACTCGTAATCAAAATTCACCCTTCGGTCGGACTTTTTCAAAATCTTATATTTTCCAACTTTCGCCAAAAGGTGTTGAATTGTCCTACAAACTTCCAAATCCAAATCCGAACATACGCCTAAGTCCGAAATCATCATACAAAGCTATTGTGATCCTCAAAATTCTATTCCGGAGTCGTTTGCTCAAAAGTCAACTCTCTGGTCAAACTTCCCAAAAATTCAACTTTCGGCATTTCAAGCTTAATTCTACTACGGACCTCCAAATAATTTTTCGGACACGCTCCTAAGTCCAAAATACTATACGGAGCTATTGACATCATCAAAATTTCATTCCGGAGTCGTTTGCTCAAAAGTCAACTCTCCGGTCAACTCTTTCCATTTAAGCTTCAAATTAAGGATTATTCTTTTAATTTAATTCTGAATATTCAGTAAATCAAACTCGACCACACCCGCGGGTCATAATACATATTACGAAACTGCTCGAGACCTTAAGTCACTGAACGGAGCGTAAATTCTTAAAACGATAAGTCGGGGTCGTTACAAAAACAAACATTGTATCTTGGGTATGATTGGAAAATATTCTTTGAAAAATGTATCTTGAAAAAAAAAAAGTATTTGATTGCCACAGAAGATATTTTCGGGAATATATTTTTCACCAAAAAAGGAGAAAACTACTTGCTTCACATATATCTAGTGATACAATCAGAATTTTCATTAAGAAATGTCAAAATATAAAAAAAATAGACACTTAACGAAGCCAAGAAGATTCAACATAGAGTATATATATATTAAATTTTGAAAGTACTAAAAATGAATAAAATATTTACGTAGTTACATGTATTTTTCTCGCAATGGGGTGAATTAACACCCTTAATATAAGATGGCTCCATAACTACATATACATCAATTATTTACTTCATATATATCACTGCTTCAACTAATACTTTATAGCTTGAAATTTCAAACAGACTTAGCGATAGGTATTGTTTCGACCTCTTAAATGCAAAAGTTCAATTTTTATATGCATCTGGTGCAACTAAGTCTAAGGTATGAAACTGAAGTTGAAACAAGCAACTACTGTTTCTGAGAAAGAAGTCACAAGTCCATGTCGATAATGTTGAGTCTTAGTGCTTTATTTCTGAACCTAACGATATATAACCTGCTCTCTTTTGGCTGACACTTGTACTGTTGCAATTTATATATAGGACATAAAAAGGTCAACAATGTCATGCTCCTATCTTTATTGCATGTGCTCCGATTCATCGTAGTCTTATTTCCTCAATTATAACCACAAAAAGGAGAAAAAGAAGAGAAGAGGCTATACCATTTGAATGAGATCATGAAGCCAACATGACGTGTTTGTTTGAATTTTTTAGCACGTGATTCCAATAGTCCACGATATTTTTGCAATAAAAATATTTCATTGACGCTAGTTATTTTCCAGTTTCCTTAAACGGTAACATTCTGGAAGGGATACGTTGAATTAGGGGTGTACATAAGTCGGGTTGGTTCGGATTTTTCAATTATCAAACCAAATTAATGGTGTCGGATTTTTAAATTTATAAACAAAACCAAACAAACAAAGTCGGGTTTTTCAATCTCGAATTTTTCAAATTTTGTCGGGTTTTCAGATTTTTTTCCGGTAAAGTTTTCATAGCATAAAATATGTAACTTGTGCTCCAAATATTTCTTAAGTCCTAGTAAAATACAACTATATAAGTCCTAGTAAAATACAACTATATAAGTCCTAGTAAAATACAACTATATAAGTCCTAGTAAAATACAACTATATAAGTCCTAGTAAAATACAACTATATAAGTCCTAGTAAAATACAACTATATAAGTCCTAGTAAAATACAACTATATAAGTCCTAGTAAAATACAACTATATAAGTCCTAGTAAAATACAACTAAAATACAGCTTGACTGCCGCAATAGACAGGAACATGATGTGATATGGCCAAACCAAAATCACCTAAGAGTCGGACCAACCAAGCAACTTCTGCAACCAACTTTCTTAAGGCCCTATACTCAGCCTCAGCTGAAGATAAAGAGATGGTAGGTTGTTTCTTGCTCTTCCAAGACACAAGACTGCCACCAAGAGTGATATAAAACTCACTCACAGACTTGTGAGAGATTGCACAGGATCCCCAATCAGAATCAGAAAATCCCACAAGAGACAAATCAGCAGAACTAGAGAGCAAAATACCTTGAGTGGGATCATGCAAAAGATATCTTAGAACATGAAGAGCAGCCATCATACGAGGTACCTGGGGCTTCTGAAGGAATTGGCTTAGATGTTGGACAGAAAAAAAGATGTCAGGTCTTGTGTGTTGTAGGAAATTTAATTTCCCAATTAGTCTTCTATATACACTTGGATCAGAAACAGGAGCTCCCATGTCTAAAGTAAGCTTAACAGAAGGATCCAAGGGTGTAGAAACAGGGGAAAAGTGATGACAATTAAATTCTTGAAGAAGATCACTGGTGTATTTCTGCTAACTCATTAAGTACCCTTGGGGATGCTGGAAAATATCCAAACCTAGAAAGTAATGCACTAAATCTCGATCCTTGATTTTAAATTGAGAGTTCAAGAACATTTTCAATAAATTTAACTCAGAAATACCATCACCAGCCAGCAGTATATCATCAACATATACTGTCAATACATCCAAAGAACCAGAAGATGATTTGGTGAAGAGAGAATAGTCATTGAGACTAGAAATGTAGCCTCTGGAGTGCAGGGCTTTAGACAGTTTAGAAAACCACTATCTAGAAGCCTGCTTGAGGCCATATAAAGACTTCTTGAGCCTACAGACCAATGGAGGAGATTCCGAATTAGAAGAAACATCCATCCCAAATGGAATCTTCATATAAACTTCCTTATAAAGGTCACCATGGAGAAAAATATTATTGACATGTAACTGAGAGACAGTCCAGGCTCTCTTCACAGCTAAGGCCAGGAGACATTTGATGGTTGTCAGCTTGACAACAGGGGAAAATGTCTAAATGAAATTAATACATTCTCTCTGAGTATCACCCCTGATAACATGCTTTGCTTTATACCTTTCAATAGAACCATCTACCCTTTGTTTAATCTTGTAAACCCATTTATAAGGGATGACCTTTTTGTGGGGAGGAAGGGAAACAATATCCCAAGTCTGATTGGACTCAAGAGCCTGAAATTCCTTTAGCATTGCCTCATGCCAAGCAGGATGAGAAGCTAAATGCTGGTAATGTTGAGGCTTATGCATATGTAACTCAGTCTGGGGCACCTTAGATATTGCAGAAATAGGAACAGGTGGAAGGATAGAGTTGTAGACATAGTCTTGGAGGTAGGATGGTTGGATGACAGTTTTGATTCATTTTATTATAGCATGAGCAGGTAAAGAAGACTGATCCACATAGGTTGAAGTGAATTGATGGGCAGAATAAGAGGTAGAAAGAGAGGAAAGAGGAGAGGTAGGAGATGCAACAGGAATATCTGTTACAACAATAGGAGGAGAAGAAGTATCAGATGCTGCAGGAACACTTGTTGCAGCAGCAGGTGTAGGAGAAGAGTCAATATCTATAAAAGGTAAAAAGTAGAGGAAGTAGTAGTGGAGGAGGCTGTTGAACCATAAAGGAACATATGTTCATGAAATACCACATCCCTAAAGTAAAAAATAAAAGAGTTGGAAAGGTTCATAAGTTTGTAACTCTTTTTGCCACAGGGGTACTCCAAGAAAAGGCTATGTATAGCTCTAGATTGGAACTTGTCCCTACTAATCTTGGGGGAAGTTGCAAAGCATAAACCACCAAAAGACTTCAAATGAGTATAAGAAGGTGGATGCCCATGCAGTTTTTCAAAAGGAGAAATATTGTTTAAGATAGTTAAAGGCATTATGTTTATTAAGTATGTAGCAGTGAGGACACAGTCACCCCCGAATTTGAGAGGGAGTTTAGATTGAAAAAGAAGGGCTCTAGAAACTTCCAACAAGTGTTTATGTTTTCTTTCCGCAACTCCATTTTATTGTGGTGTGTATGAAATGGTTGTTTGGTGTAGAATACCTTGACTCATATAGAAAGCAACAGCCTCTGAACTACTGCCAAGTTCATAGGCATTATCAGACTTGAAGGTTTGGACTAAGGATTGAAAATGTATTTTGACCATGGAGGTAAAGGCTTTTAGAACAGAAAGGGCATTGCCTTTACAAGATAAAAGATGAATCCAGGTAGCTCTGTTATAGTCATCAACTAAGGTCAAGAAGTATCGAAAACCATTATATGTTCTAGTATTATAAGGTCCCCATATATCAATGTGAACTAACTGAAAAGGAGCAGTAGAATGAATATGGCTATCATAAAAAGGTAACCTCTGTTGCATAGCCATTGGACAAATAGAGCATATAAAAGACTGTTTGGAAGAAATTTTTTCAGATAGAAAAGGAATAGATGTCATTCTATGGAAAGGCATATATCCTAGCCTTTGATGCCAAAACAAGTCCAATTTATTTATAGCATGTGTCTGATTACATGGAAGAATATTTACAGAAATTGGATACAATCAGACTTATTACAAGAAACAGAATTAGAAAAAGAAAAAAAAAACATTTTGAGATGGAAACAAGTCAGCACCAGGATGTAGATAGTACAATCTCCCAGTAGCCTTACCAATTACCAGTTGCCTCTTCAGAGAATGGCCCTATAAAGAACAATTAAATTTGGTAAGAATAGCTATGCAATCCAACTGAGAGATTAATTGGTGTATAGAGATTAGGTTAATATGCAAGGAAGGTACAAGAAGGACATTAAGTAAGGTTATATCATTCTTGAGATGCAAAGAACCAGTTGACAAAACCTTAACTTTATATCCATTAGGTAGAGTAACAAGGAAGGATTTAGGCAAAGGTACAAGGTTGTGAAGTAAGTGTTTGTGTGAAGTCATGTGATTTGTTTCCCCTGAGTCTAATATCCAAGGATTTACACCTAACTGAAAAGATGTACATATATGAGAAGTAGCAAAATCTATAGCATAAGCAGTGAACAAACCTGCAAAATGTGCAAACCCAGATTCCCCAATATGAAAATTATCAGAACCAACATTAGGGGACACCTGAACTTGCTGAAATAAAGTCATCAGGTGATGATACTGTTCCTTGGTGACACCATGAGCAGAATTCTCAACAGATGGTTGTGGAGAAATTGTAGAGTGATTGAGTAGAATGTCAGACTTGACATAGGAGGCTGATTTCTTGCCTTTGGTAAACTTGAAATCTATAGGGAAACCATGCAGTCTGTAGTATTTCTCCACTGTGTGTCCAGGTTTCTTGCAATATTTTCAAGAAACAGAAGAATTATTCTTCCTGGAGTCAAAATTGATCCTTTGATTGAAATTTCTGTTTGGTGTGGCTGAAGGTGCAGAGAAAGAGGCAGATTCATTGGAGAAGTTTGGAATTGAGGTTTGAGTTTCTCTTTGACTCTCATCTTGTTGTAAAAGAGAATAAGCTTTGCTCATTGGTGGTAAAGGATTAATGATCATGATAGCACTCTTCACACTTGAATAAGAATTATTTAATCCGTTTAGAAATTGGGAAGAGTTGTTGGTCTTCTATAAACTTTGGAAGAGCTCCACAAGAACATATGGGGCCTACATATGAATAATTTAATTCATCCCAAAGACACCTAAATTTAGTAAAGTAGGTGGCAATATTAAATGACCCTTGAATAGTTGAACTAATTTCTCTCCGAATTTGAAGATATTTGGACCCATTCGACTGTCCAAACCTTTCATTGATGTCAGTCCAAACCTCCTTTGCAGTTTTAAAACACATGACACTGGTGGCTATGTCAATGAAAACAGAGTTGGTGATCCAAGACTTGACCATGTTATTACATCTCTCCCAATAGGAATAATAGGGAGAGTTGATAGGAGGTTGGACAATTCTCCCATCTAATAGGCTTAGATTGTTTTTATCACAAAGAGAAGTAAGCATGCTACTTCTCCACAGTACAAAACCATATCCATTGAATGGGACAGGTACTAGTTGGCTACCCGGATTGTCTGATGGGTGTACATAGAAAGGGTGAGAGGGATCTAATGTGAAGGGAGTGAAACCCTCAGAAGTGAAAACTGGTGGAGAAGTAAGGTTATCTGCATGACTACCCATATTACCTCCTAACTAAAACAATGAAAAGAAATTACAGTGCGTAATAGACAGACAGATTCAAACTCGATACCATACAAAATGTTGTATACATAAAATTTCACACAACACGACCTATAATCATATCAATATAAATTTTAGAGTTGTAGATCAGTTCGATATTACTAGCCTTCTTCTCAAAACCCGAAGAAGTAAGGTCTTCGTGTACACCGCAAAACCTAGCTTGAATTTACCCCGAAATCCGTCGAATCCATTATAAAAAGAGTAGTTTCTGTCAATGTAGGCGATCTAGAGAGAGATTCCAGTAAAAGCCCCAAGGTTTTTGTAACGCAGTAGTGGATTTACCAACTTTTCGGACTTTAACTAGAAAATTGATTCGGGTGAAATCTTCAATCGATTTACCGTTGAAGATGAAGCTCTTGTAACAAGGAATCATAATCCCCGCTCAGATACCATGTTAGAATGAAGCTCAATGAGCTATGGCGGAATCAGTGATAGAAAACCCTAGAAGGGTCGAGAGAGAAGAGAGAGACACAGAAGATGATATTTGGGAAATAACTATATGAGGCTTTATTTTCTCACTCCAGGAGTATTTATATTTACAGTGAAAAAATAGAAAAATACAATAAAATGCACTAATACATATTACAAGGAAATATGGGCCGGGTCAGTTACCCTGTTGGGCCAGTTGTTGGTGCAGTTTGAGCTCTAACAATATATTCTAAAAATACTATATAGGTCATGCTAAAATAAATATAGTTAATAAGTAGTAATATTAATTACATAACTAAGCATTAAAGAAAAAGATAAACTAAGTTATGCATTTTCATTATAAACCAATGTAAAACTAAAATAATTATCCAACATTTTCGTCATTCCTAGTATTGAATTGAATTTCTTTTGTTAGCATTAGTATTGATTTGAACTTTGTTTGAGTTACTACATTTATGGGCTATAAAATTTATTTACCATTCAAGAATGTTAAGTCTAAACTTGAAATAATACGTTAAAAGATAAAACTGTGAAAAAATTTAAGAAATATTTATAAATTATATTACAATAAATATTTATATCACTACTATAAAACTGCCTAAAACCGTCCAGAAATACCGACCGGAATTGGTCGGAAAACTGAAAAAATCGACCGATTTCCAACCGACTTTAATCCGTCAAAATTTAGTTGGTCGGTAAAAAATAGAGACCGAAGTCGGTCGCAATTTTCGACCGATTTCGGTCGGTAAATTAATTTTCACAAA